GCACATGTACCGTGAGTAATACCACATGGTATATACATGTGTCCTGTAGTTGTTTGCCTGGATATGAACAAAGGGGTGCACTGAACCAATTCAAGCTCCATTGAAAATAGTGAAAAATCAACCAAGTTTGGAGCCCCATGGCAGGCAACTGAAGTCCCCGAGGCCTCTCAAACAAAAAATAATGTGTTTTTTTGGTCATTTAGATTTCATTTGGTTTTCAATTTTTGTAGGTTAACCAATGAGTTTTTTACCAAACTCACCGCCCAAAAAGTGAATGTTCCTAAGTCTTCTCAGCAGCCATTTTTCAATTGACATCCCTCACTTTCTCAGGCTCTTCTGACAAAATTTCAATCCCATTTTTGTCTGCTTTGGCCCCAGATGGGTGCCTCTGAATCTACAGAGATGATTCTGGGCCATACTTACACAATCCCACAATTTCTTAGCCTACACGGACCCTTCTTTTCCAAAGAATCTGTAGGGTTACTTTTTAAGCGCCTCGGCCTGGGAGAGTTTTTCTTGAATTTAGGACACTGCACCCACAGACCCTCAATTCAACCGCGGTACATGTACCTTGGTGTACATGTACTGTAGTATGTGCATATACCAGTACATGAACAAGATGCTGAACTTACGTAGTACGGACGGTACAGTACCGGTACATACATTGTACATGTACTGTACGTGTACACACATACACCCACTCTTGTTAATCCCTGCCTTTGGCAATTTTGTTTTTTTTTCTGTCAGTGAGATTTATCCTTTCTACATGTACCTGTCCTCCAGACCCAAGGCTGATGCTGAATTGCCAGTGAAAATGGATGAATAAGGCGGGGCTTGCACATTCGGCAGAGAATCCCAGGGTATGAGTTGTCAAGGTTGTCAGCCTTGTGTAACTCAGTGAATTCTGCAGGGCCTGGGAAGTGCCAAACCTGTCAGTGGCCGTATTTGTTTTCAAAGATTTTTTAAAATAAATGATAAAATTCTTGAAAAGTTGGCATAAAACTTGCAATGTCTGATATCTTAATCAGTTTTCAAGAGGTTTCTTTCAAGAAAGATTACCGGTAATTAGAAAAGTCATGTACATATACATGCTTTAACATGTAGTCAGTGTTGCTCCTGGGTACATATTCATGCATGTGCAGGGGCCATGGAAACCGGCAGGTGTGTGCAAGATGGGCGACTTTACAGACAGTCTTTCTTTGCAATATCAAAACACAAGGCAGGGATCTAAAAACAGATTCATAAAGTATGTCAGCTGATAAATAGATGGCAGTAACCTTCATATGATACATGTTCATGCAAATGTATTAATTGTTTTCAACAATGCTTTTGTGAGCTAAAATTCTGACCTGGTAGTTTTGGATGTAGTGAAATGCCATTGCTACAGAATGGTTCCCAGTCAATCTACATGTACTGTAGTTCTGATTTAGCAGTGGGAACCAGTGGAACAACTGCATGTAGCGATAACAGGTAATTATTTTAAGCTACGTACATGCTTGACCAAGGAAAACTTGATTTCATTCTGCGATCAGACATCCATTGAGGACTACACTAAAGGTGAAATTTGGAAGGAGAGGAACATTTATCCATGTACATTGAACAAAATGCCAGAATTTTGGAGTTTATTTTCAACTTGTGAGTGTACACGTACATGCACGGAAACTTGGAAACTTTGCCCAGAAATTCTTGTGGGGACAAATTCATGTACATGTAAAGGCACCGGTACCGGTACATGCAACCTGTACATTGTACATGTACGAGTATACTGCCACGTTTGTGTAGGCTGGACCGGAGCTGGGAACTTGCACATCAATTACCTGAAAATTGCTATATAATGTACTGAATGCCTGCGATACCGGTACATTTTATGTGGACCACCATTGTGTTCGTTTATGTGTCCATGTACATGTATCTGCTTGCCTTAGCAAAATAAGAAACACTTGGCAAAGTCATGCGTTTTGTGGAACTTGCTTGCTTTTTGCAAGCCTGAGGAATTGGCTTGTTCTTTGCATACCTGATTTTGGAATGAAGTTTTACATGTACGTGTACTTACCTGTATTTAATTTGTACACATACAGGTACATTGTACATTTTCAAATTTCAGAAAACTTTACAATTTGCATCGCAGATATCGATATTTGTCCAAACCATACATATATGCACAGTGTACATGCAATGTACGGTACATGTACATATATGGGAAGGGTACCAAAAACACGCGTGTGTTTGACCAGAAAACCCCAACTCTGTTTTGTCTGGATTTGTCCTTAGTCATGGTTCTTAGATATGTTCCGATAACACGTAGATTGGCACCTCTATCGTTCCCTGTCCAATACATTATGGTATCACAACTTCTGCACAGCTAGAAGTGTACAGCACATATATGTAGATGTACAAGTATATTGCTCCTGCTATACAGACCGTGCATTGACGTCACTCCCACTGAAGCCCATGCAGCCGACACAGACCAGAGAATTTATGTGATCCTCTCATGCATGAAGGCGTCTAGCAGGCAAAGAAGGAAAGAACTGTCAGCAAAATTAAAATTGGCAGGGTTTGGAATTTCTGCATTTCCTGGTTCGGGGTTTTCTTTGTGACACAGTTTTACATACATGTATGCACGTGTACATATACTTGGTGTGAATTCAGTGAGGATAAATATAAGTGGTTGGATTTTGTACATGTACACGTACATATATTTCTATCAAAGTTAAATGTGTTATGCATGTATACTGGTACCATACCCCATACTTTATCTGGCCGGTATCTGCACCTACGGGTGCATACATGTACATGTACGTGTACATGATGGGTTTGTATACTGTACATGTACATGTATGTACACTGTATGTATACATATACTCACTTGTATCTTAAGCATGATGTGCAGGGGTACCGGTGTACAGTTTGTAACAGTGTGCTACCAGTGGCATGGGCACAAGAGAATTTGGTCGTGGTTTGCAGATAGCACACAGGGCCTTTATTATATTAGGAATGATTTCACTGTGCTGAGTCAGTTCTGGGCAGCACAAACAAAGTTGCCCAGCAGATGTCCAGCGTGCCTTTATCCATGTCATCCAGTTATATTGTTGTTATCGAACAGTCCTGAATTCATTAAATTACAGCCCCTTTGCTTTCATTTGTCATTGCAATAGGCGATTGCCATCTTGAATGGATGTGGTCTGGAGATCCCCCCCAAATATCAATAACAATGTAAACCTCTTCATTATGCTTGGTTGGGTATTACTGCTCATAATCATTCCATACATGTATGTACATGTATGTGATTTTCACAAACATTCACGGTACATGTACCGGTAGTTGTCAAATTTTGATTGGCTAATTTTGGTGGAAGATGAGCAGCACTTTATGATTCCCTAATGTGTTTAATATGACACATGCTACCTGTTTCAATTACCGGGTTATGTGTCATTTGTCATGTTTGTATGTGTCTTCTCCTACCCTGTTAAAACTATTTCTTTTTTCTCACCAGTGAAATTGGGAGGGGGAGGGGGTGATCAAATGGTCCCCCCCCAAAAAAAGTGAGGGGACTTACATCGTCCCCCATCTTCCCCAAGCTGAATAATTTACATGTATACCCCTTCCTATATAAAGCCCTTGTATTTGTTTTTTCATCAAAGGCAGTGACACTTTGGAAGACACTTCTGCCACCCTGTATGTCTTTGTGTAAAAAAGAGAAGGATACAGGCAGTGCTTCCCCATTACATGTTCATTTACATGTACCTGTATGTGTTGGTTGTTGGTTGGAATTCGCCCATGACATTTGATATGTACATATGTAGGCACAACATACATGTACATGTATGCACTGTACGTCTGTACTTGTGTGCTCCCGAGAGCCAAATGGTGTGCATGTGTCACTTGAAGTGTGCTTGTTCAGGCAGGCTAGTGAGTACCCTAGGCTGCATTGCATCTACATGTACCGGTACCGTACCTCACATCTTGAACAAAGCTCATGGGAGATCTACATTTTTCAGCCGGCCATCAGTGTACTCATAGCTAAGAAGACATGACATATTCAGCATCATCATTGGCATATTCTCCTGAAACCTGTGATTTTCCAGTGTGATCAAACAATGATCAATTTATATGTAGGTTTTTGTGCATACTGGTACATGTACATTTGTACCTGCCATTGTAAGACAAATTGGCTCTGCAGTGATCCATTCATGTTTGACAGAAAACTGTAAACGAATGTATACATGTAGCGGGGGTACATTGTGACACCCCTGATTTGTTAGTTTTGATTGTTAAGCTGGCTATGACCAGCCATGGTAAAATGAAGGACACATTTGTACTGGCAAGTTTTTTCATTTTAAAACTAAAGTGAAGGGTTTTGTATCCCTTTTTGTACTAGTACTGGTATGTCCTGACTACCATTGCCAAGATGTCTGATATTCAGTAATGCCATTTTGCAGTGATGGTCCAGTCCTAGCCAATATAATATAGGTCATGTCTACATTCATGTACACAGTAATCATGAAGCAAAGTCAGCAAATAATGTTTGTTTCTGCTCTTTTATAAAAATGAGCAAATCAGAAAAACACACAAAAAACAAACAAACACACACACAAACCAAAAATCTTTGATTTCAAACTTGGGACAGTGTGCCATGCAGTATATTAGAGAATATTTTAACAGGGCTAAGATTTGTCACGATTATTCCTGATGTCATTTTTATCAGGATTTTCCTGACTTCAGGTTTTTCAAACATTCTCTTCTAAAATCTGGAAAACCCTGAGTTTACCATTGATGTGTTTTTATGTATAACAGTTGATACAGAACACAAGAAATGAATGGGTACACGTATTTCACAGGAAGCCTTTAGGCAAACACACATGTACACCACTGTATACATCAAGTATAGTTTTCTACATGCAATAAAAACAAACCATTAGATTCTGTTCTGGCTTTGATGAGATACACACAACTGAACTAAATCCATTGTTTTTCTTTCTCTTTTTTTCTCCTCTCTGCAGATAGAAATTTTGATAGTATATGTGAAGAACAACCAATTGGACGCGCTCTTTTTAAATCCTTTTGTTCGACAAATGAAGACTACAACACAGCTGTCAATTTCTTGGATGCAGTTGTAAGTATGCACAGATGAAGACACAGTTATGGGGACAGTGGTTTTCTTTTAGAACCCCGATGCTGGGAATCAGACCCGGCATTGGTTTTTGTCCTTCCGTGTTGTTTGACATGCAAATTTGGAGCAGGTTACCATTCCACGAAAAAGTCTCATCATTCCTAAAAATGTGCAGCATGTGAAATGTTAGATGGATGAATGCAATGTCACCTGCAGGAACCACCTGCCATCTTGTAATTTCAAAGACCGTGTGACAAGAGCCGACAGGTCTAGGCTGCAGTCCCTGAAGTTATCACAAGCGACATTTGTTAGTGAATAAAAAGGGATTGTACTTCGTGTAATTTAATATGCTTTTGGCGGTAGTAAACACATCACCTGTATTCAGATGGGGGGGGACATCATTGCTGTCCAACGAAATATGCAGGTTCGTGAGCAAATGAAATCCCTTGGGGTTATGCACGCGGTTAATCAACTGAATGTTGCATAGGCTAATATGCCGATGATGATCAGATGAAAGATGTTCAGGAAAAGAGCTCAGCAGATCCGACAGCATCATAGGCACCACCAACCTGGAAGGCTGATAATAACACAAGTGTATGGTGGATCATTGGTTGCATCGCTGTCGTTGACCTTTGACCCTCTTACCCTGGGATTGAACCCAGGATACATGTACACGCTGCATTTTCGTCCTCGGCAATTGTCAGCTGCTAGGTGCTCAAATGCCTGGTGGCGCAGGGACAGAGCGAGGGTAGGAAAGATGCGTGGGTGGAATGACATGCAGAGCTATAAATAAGCCAGGCCATTTTGTCCACCCCCTCCTCCCACAGTAGTATTGTCTCTTGTGGTATAATCAGCTGACAATATGGAAAGGTTTTTGGTACAGCCTGCACTTTCCTCTGAAGAAACCTGCCGCTTTTGAATGGGGAGGAAATTGCCATCCATTGGGGCACATTACTTACAGCGAGACTGAACAATTTGGATAGCTCAAGAGTTTCTGATGTAATGGTATTTCAAACAAATGTACGTGTATCAGGTGAGAAGGGCTCAGTGGAATTACAGCAATGCAGAATTTTGTGGCAGAAGAAGTAGGAGATTTGTTTAACAAAATGGAAATCGAGAATCAGAATACTCACAAGTAAAATAGATCCAGTGCAGTTGAAACTGTACTTTGAGCACATGACTACTAGAAACAGGATAATTTTGTCATTGTCTTGAATACCATACTGGTAGGAATATCAGAGGCTGATACCATTGATCATTGACCAGCTGTGTAATATCCTAAAAGTTTTTAGTTGGGATAAGATGGGCTTTTGGTTTTGGGGTTTGAGTCATCTGTAACTTCCCTAGTCCATTTTTAATAAATTGTACGTTTGCATGATCATGTTCGTCATCCAAGGTCCCTCATAGGAACTCGACCTTTTGACAAATAGGTAAATATGGTAAAGGATAATGGATTCTTGCTCCTTTTTTTTCTCAAAACTTTCCAAGACCTTGTACGTTATTTTAAAAATCCTACAAATGGGATGCACGCCCTGTGTTTTTATGATTCCATGCCTGTAATATTAAATTAAAGGCCTTGCCGTGAAAAGTACAAAGTTCATATAGCCAGTGTTATTAAATTAGAGTCAGTGGTGACGGTACAAAGAGGCTCCAAAATAGCACATCAAAAATTGGCAGTCTCAGACAGGAAGTTCTGTACATGTATGCCTGAAAACTCAGATTTTAAAAGTGTTCTTGTCATACCATTAGATGCATTCTCACCGTATTAGAGAGTCCCATTTTGGCACATACATGTACATGTAATGGTAGCAGTGGGGCCTGTGCCCTTACATAGTTGAGAACAAACCCAGGTTTAGAACGATGGACCTTGGTGTGGTATTTACTCTTTATATGTAAAGAAAACAAAAGTAAATGACAAAATCTCCACAGTCACAGCTCCCTGCACCCATAAAAGGATGCCTGTTTACACAAATGTAACTGACTTAAAAGGATTATTTTCTTATTATTTTATTATTTTTTTGCCCCCAAATTGGAAGATTCTGGAGGATTGAGGAAGGTCCTAGCAAAAAGGGCCTAGGGGGTTAGGGATAGTCCCCATCCCACTGTCCAAACCATAATTTGCACAGGAACCGCTAACCAGACTATTCATTGGTACTGCTTCTACTTTCAGTGTACATGTACAGTTGATGGGAGCAGCCAATTACTGCCACTGTGATATGATCGATCAGCTGTTCGGAGAGCTGCAATATTTTGTCTGTGGTTTTAGTTTTTTTAAGTTCATTTCAATTTTTTTTTATTTGTTCCTGAAGGCCTCCAAAAGTCTCCCGGAGACTTGCGCATCGGCAAAATAAAGAAGTTTTTTATTTTGCATAAAACAATTTCCAAAAGCGCCCAAACTTACTTTAATCGGCTGGAATTCTGCTACTTCATAATTTTAATGTGTTTTTGATGGGTGGGGTTGAGTAATTTGTACAGTAAAGGAATCCCCTAGGCCTCCGTACATTTCAGTCGGACAATCTTATCAGTTGACGTCATTCATGTATCTTTACACGAAGGCCATGTCCGAATCAGTTGGCTTCGGCTTGCTATTATGCATAATTCAATGGGAAGTGGTCGTGGATGCTGCCAAATACTCTGTAAATTCAGGCTGTAGCCAATTGATTGGGACCCGGGCCTATGTCTGTGAACTAGACAAACAAAGTGGTCTTACGTCCTGCTTATGTATACAAATTGAAAATGCTTTTAAGCAACAAACTGTGAGGGGCCAGTCTATTTCAGTGTCGGTGAGGCAGTGGCGGTACATGTAATGTACGTATGCAGTGCATGCAACGGCAATTGACACCGCAATATGACAACCATACATGTAACAACTCAGGCATTGTCACTTGCCAAGAACAAAGGTACAAAAAATGTAGATGACAGTGATAGGGGATATTATTTTCTGAGCTGAATTTTATATGAAACTTGTTTCTTATAAACTAAAACTGAAAACAGTATATCATTTACTTCATGAGAATTTTATTTTCATTTTGATTCAAGAGCTGAACTGTTTTTATTTATTTATTTTTTTTAATATATAAGCTAAAATAATAATATATAAGCTAAAGCAGAAAACAATGTACAAAGAATGTCATATACAGCTACCTCATGAGAATGTCATTGAAAACCGGAAACTGGAGCTGAACATTTAGTTTTCACATTTAATTTTCCCGTTGTGGTGTTGCTACTGTATTTTAACAAGCTCAATCTAGCCAAGAATAGAAGCCTCTTGTTAGAGTGAGATGACTGAAGCCATTGCCTCTTGGCATATTTTATGGTCTTTTTAATAATTCAAAATTGTCAATTTACACTTCTCATAGTAACAAGGCCATGTGGTCTAAAGTATACATGTACATGTGCATGTACCGGTACATGTATATCACTTCTAAGGGAAAACAAAGAGGAAGGGGCAAAAAAAAACACACTGCGTCACTGCACCACTGTTGGACCAAGCCCATGACCAGAAACCGGAGTCTTTTATTTTGGCCTAATACAGTGTCTGCGGAGGTTGAAGACACATGCAGATGTTGCTCCAAATATAATAGAATGAATAATAAATGCTTCACTGGTCTTAAATATTTGATTAAGGCCAGAATCAGGAAAATGGATGGTGATAATTGCCCGAGCTGACGGTGAGGGACGTTATCAGTGTCCGTTCTGTGGACTTGAATGAAGTAAGACTGGCCAAGCATACATGTAGATGTAGTCATTCCTATTCATATACACCTTAGGTTAGAAAGTTAAAGTTAATTTAAAGAATTGAAATTTCCACTAATTTTGTTTGACAGTTTCACTTAAGGATTTTCAAATAACCCAATAACCCTCTGTCTGTGTTATGGAACCCTACGTGCTGGTGCATTATCAACCCTTTAATTTAAGACTGGCCATGTGACAAGCACTCGACCAATAGAAATGGCTAAACTGTCTTAGGTATTTACATGTATGAATGGTTTTTCAGACATACATGTAGAGATTCTGCTTTTGAGCAAGACATGCTTGACCAATTTACACCGACATAGTGATGCATTAAGTCCATGAGTGTTGCAGAACTTTCTGTACAGCAACAAACCAAGATATGGACTTGGTTTTTTAAAATTAAATTTTACATCTTCAGGTGAGAATATGCTCATACTGACACTTAGCACCATTGGTTTCACTTCTGGTGCTCAGAGTCCCTTGGGTGTTTAAATTCCATTTCCCTCATTATAGCTGTCAATAATTACATACATGTAAGTATCTCACATCCGTACACTGTGGGTCAAAAACGTGTAAGCATGGTAAGGAAAATGGACATGAACAAAATGGTGCTGCACTCAAGTTGCAGGTTACCATCACAGACGTATATAAAAAATCTGGACACGTAATATCCTTAATCAGCTTGTAGAGATGATTGCATCCACTAGCGGCCATTTTACCGAGCCGAATACAAAGCTTGCCCGGCAGTGCCCGCCTTTGTTCTCCCTGGCGTCAGTAGAAGCGAGCCAAGCCGCGCATTTATATTTGGCTCAGTAAAATGGCCACTGGTTGGCTTCTATTTCATACCAAGGCGTTGCAAGTCCAGGTTTTTTTTATATATAAGTCTGTGGATACCATGTGGAGACCAGATTTACCTGTTCAGTATGAAAACTGTCACATTTTTCACTGGCTGCATGGACAGTAGGGCCTACACATCAGCTGAGGGGCCATCCATTTTTTTTTTTTCAAAGTAATTTTACCAGTGTACCGGTACAAAGAGTGCTTTTTATCTTGACCCCTTCCCCTCCCACAGACTAATTGTTCAAACGAAAAATAAAATATTTTTTTCTTTATGATGAGTAATGAAAACAGGTGGGGAGTTTATTGGTTAGTTTAAAATGTGATTTCCTAATTTGGGTTCAGTTAAGGGTACAATGTACATGTACATGTTGATCCTCCAGTAGAGGGAATTTTTATGGGCAATTTTTCTTTGTTGGGGGAGAGATGCAAAAAGGAGGATTGTTCAACCGACTTTCTTTGGTGTGAGGGCTTTGTGAGGCTAGTATTTGGGGAGGAAGGGAACTTTGTAGTCCCCTAAATTGTTTTTTCTCATCAAATTAAAGTGGGAGGACATTGTGGTTTGTTTGTTGGTCAGTATTATGCATTGTACAGTTGTGCACCTTCTAATTCATATGACAGAGATCGTACATGTATGCGTTATCTACATGTACCAGTACATGGACAATTATTGCTTTTTACTTCTTTGTTCATTTTATCGCATTTGGCAGGAGGGGTTCATGTTACCTGTTGCATCAAGAAGACATTCTTCTTTCAAAATGGCTGCCATTGCAAAAGAACACACAAACATGCACATGTGCACATTCAACATGAAAATGTCAAGATCATGCACAGACATGACATAGTGATTTCTGATCAAATAATCGTGGTGTTACCGGTACATGTGAGTCATGAAAGGTGAACACAGTTCATCTCGAGTGAATTTTGCTGCAAATGTTTTGTGATGTTGAATTTGCATTCCCTTGAAGGATAAACCAGCCTTAAGAGTTTCTACAGGGTACTGGTAGGTAAGGACCCTTGGGAAGTCAGCTGAGCACATACATGTACTAATAGGCACCAAAGCCGTGAAGTATTGGGATGTCTTGCCCTGCCAGGACCTCTCCCCTGAAAAAGTGAGAAAAAGTGGAGGGACGGGAGAAGAAAAAGGAAAGTAAAGAGAAAGAAATGTTCCATGACAGTGCCTCATAGCTGAAACCATACACTTTTAATTATTGGTTCTTCTGCTACTGTCTCTTTCCTCCCTCCCCTCATCCCACCTCGCCCCTGGATAGATGTACGTGTGTATCCCCCCTCATGGCGTTTCTCATGACAGAGGACGTGTTGATGTAAAATTGGTGGCCAAATTGAAGTTGTTGTATGATGTTACTTCTAAGCGTATATCAGATTGTAGCTTTAAAGGCAGGACAAGCAGAAGTCTCGTTGACTAATTTGAGTTTGTTAAGATGTGCATTGGGACATCCGTTGGTCATGCTGAGATCAGTATATGTGACATCGGGTTCACTTCTCTCAATTTGTCGTTGAATGCCTAATGTTTTAAGCTTGATTTTTCTTGTGTTCTTTGTTCTAGAACGATTACGAAGTGGCACAACCAGAGGATAGACCAGGCCTTGGCAATGAAATTTTCCTCAGATATCTCTATGCAGATGTAAGTTGATCCGTATGTAGCCACATTCATCAGGAGTCTTTTTTTTATATTTTTATGGTTTATTTCACTTTGCCTTTATCGCAGCCCAAAAGGCTGAATTGCACAGGCGTTACAAAGCAATTAATACATAAAAAACATTTAAAAATCATCAAAAACGTGAAATCACTAAAAAATTCATAAACAGAGATAGAAAAACTTTACGACCAAAAAATACTCACAAAAAAGCCACAAAACAGTCAAACAGCCACCAAAAACAAGTATCGAAAAAGAAAGGATAAACATTGATGGCTGGGATATGAAAAATATTTACAATTATAATATGCAAAACTTGTTATGTAAAAAGGATAATTTAAAATACATGTATATTAAGAACCAATGCTCATGGCCCAAATACATACCATCGGTCATTGAATAAAGATTGCCTTTCACAGTGTCTGTGTATTTAAAAGCTTCACCAAATATTGAATAGGGCTTTGAGCATATCTTTGAGTGCGGGCCTTAGGAACAGACAACAGGCTTGAATTCCGTAACACACGACCATTATCCTCAGCTCTGGTTTTACGTAGCCAGCTATGGTAAACATGAGACATTAATAAAGTTTTGGCAAATTTCAAACAAATCTGCTCTCGTCTGTCCTGAAGTTCCTTAAGTTTACAAGTATGAAGTGCATCCCGATAGGAATAATAACCATTACCCAAGGTAATTTTACAGGCCCTTTTTTTAATTCGTTCAATAGCATCACGTTGATACAGGGTGAGACTCGGATGCCATGCATGATGGCTTGGTGCAAGATGGCTTGGTGTTACCCTTGCCACCCACCTGTCAAAAGTCTGGATTGAATTGTTTAATCAAACAGACATGATCATACTGTACACTGCTCACTAAAAGTGTGCTGGGAAAGTTTTAAATATGTGGTTTAACGGCTTTTGGGGGTTTGATCTCTGATAACTTCCAGAGCCAAAGCAAGGGTTGCTTCTGGCAGCCAGACCTGTGGTGGGTTCCAAACCTCAAATTTGAACACGTCCCAAAACACTTTTATCCCAATTCATAAGTTACATTTCAGTCAGTGAAAGCAATTAAGAATCAACAAATGTTTGAATTTCTGATATTTACTCCATGTTTTGTGAAACACCTGCATCCCTGTATATGGAGATAGGCAAACATGGGCCGCTGTGAGACAGAATACAGTTGCTGTTGGTGGCATTTTAAACCCATCAACATAATGGGCTCTGGACCAGTGAGAATATTCCAACTTATGCCCATTAAAGGCATTATCATGTTGATGACTGCTGAACCGACACGGTACAATTGTCAATCAAATTGATTTTACAGAATTATATAAATGGACTCCATTGCATTCTGGCCTTTCTTGAGAGAAAAATGGTGTTTATGTCTTTACATGTGTACAGATTTTATGTTGACCTCATTACAGGCTTATGAAGAAGAGGGGAACACTCACAACAGAAAGTGTTCTCCTGGCCTGTTTCAGTAAAATTGGCACCCACGACCCCCTCTCTGCTGTTAACCATCAAGATTTGATCATTTTTTACAATTCCCAAATATTCCCGAGGTGTATTACACTGTATGCAGAGGTAAAGCACAAACTCAACCAGTAAAACAGACAT